GTGGCCTGTGAAGGTGGGAGCAGTGTCGCCCCCCCTCACATCCCTGCCCTTCCTACCCGTCTCAAGGCGGTCTCTGCCCCTCCGTGGTTCAGAGTCTCCCTTTCAGATAGTCTTTGGTTGCGTATTTCAGGTGGCTGTTGCCATCTTTATTTTTATTGCCAGTTTGGTACTCTGCCACCTTCTTGCCCTCTCCTCTGGTTTTTTCTCATTTACCTTTACATTTTTTAATGGATCTAAAAAGGGCTCTCCCACAGAAACATAAACATTGACTTCATGGGGAACATCTTCATGTTCAAGAGCTTCAGTGCTGTTTGCCAGGAACACTCGCCATGAGGCCTCATTCAAAGTCAGCGTTTCCAGGAACTCCTCCAGCCACAAGTTATTGGTTGGCACAGTAACTTTGGCAAAGACCATTCTAGATCCATTTATGTAAGCTGTTCCTCTAGTTACTGAGCTGAAGTTCACGTCTTTGATAGATTCTATGCCAATTCTGGGCTGCCTGAAATTTAAAGAAGAAAACTCTGCAACTCTCAATCACTGACAGCCCTGTTTCTTTTGGATGCTGATATAAAACAAGCATTGTTTTCATTGGCTGATTGGCAGCTATCTGGGTCTGATACTTCATCATGGCCATGATCGGATGCAGTCTGACATATGGAGCAATCCTGAAGTCCTGACCCTTCTGATATTGCTGCTGAAAGTAAAAGCCTGTTGGGGCCAAACTGAGGCTGCAAATAATCTTCAGTAGCTTTAATAACTGCTTTCACCTAAGATGACATAAACCCCCTTGATAAATCATTCAAAATATGTGTGTAAATTGAGTGAATGGTATCCCCCTTGCAGGTGCCCTCAAAGCTGCTTTGCTGTGATACCTTCATGGTTTTAGTCAAGGGCAATGAAGAAAACTGAGGAAGTACTGCCCTGTGATCTTCTGTTTCTGTTCTTGCCATTTTCAGCTCTTTGACTCCCTTGCTCAGTCATTTCCTGACTAGAACTCAATGAATGTTCATTGACGATTACTATGCTGCTAGTAAACTCCTTGGAAGCAGTGCCTGGTTACCATAGCAACTGTATCAGCAACGTCATTTTTTGCGTAAGCATGTGAACAGCACTCCAGCTATCAGTGGCATTAGTGTACTTATCAGCCTAATAAAATTTCCTACTGCATTATCAGTCATTCTGTCTAAAAGTACAGCTGTCACTGACTAAAAATAATTTTTAGTGGAAAAAATTAAAGGACAAAAATCTTTGCTATAAAGCACTAATTTTTTGAATGACTTTGGATTCACAGAATTATCCATAGTTGAACAAGAGGGTGGAAGCACTGCTTCTATTTCATCCAAAGGCAGTAGTTACCTTGTGCACTCATATAGTCTCACATCTGCTTTTGCAAATATGGAAACAACTCAAACAAGACCTGGGTGCCCCACCAAGCAGATTTAAAGCAAAAAAATGAAAAAGGGGAGGGGAGGGGAGGGGAGGGGAGGGGAGGGGAGGGGAGGGGAGGGGAGGGGAGGGGGGGGGGGGGGGGGGGGGGGGGGGGGGGGGGGGGGGGGGGGGGGGGGGGGGGGGGGGGGAGGGGAGGGGAGGGGAGGGGGGGAGGGAGGGGAGGGGAGGGGAGGGGAGGGGAGGGGAGGGGAGGGGCAAACCCTGAAGGGTGACTTTTTTTTTTATTCTTTTTTTTTTTATTTAGTTACTTTTCAAGTGCACATTTTTTTTTCTCTCCCCCGCTGCCCGATCTCCCCCTCCCTCCCATTCCCCCCCCCCAGTCCTCATCTCTGTGTCTTTCATACTTGTTCCTCAAAATCCCTCCCCCCTTTTCCCCTTAAGTTCTGAAGGGTGACTTTGAAACCTATTTTGTACTCTCCCTTTTTCTTTTTTTTTCCCCTTTTTGTCATCATCAGCCTTACATTCCCTATTTATTTCCTTCACTTGTTAAAGACAACCTTTAACTATAGATGTCTAGTTTTCTCCAACGGCCCTGATTCTAAACACTCTGTTAATTTGTCTCCATAAATAAAGCCAGAATTGTCAAGGCAGTTATCTGTAGCGGATCCTGGCCAGCAGGATCCATGTAAGTTGTGGCTGCTCGTGAACAAATACACGGACAACAGAAGTCCTGTGGAGAAAAAGGGACGGCATGGCCACTCTCTGAGAGAGAGAGGGCAAGACAGCCACAGTGCCCAGTCCCTGCCTGGCCAGGCTTTCATTGCTTCTCTGGGTACACTGCATGGAGGGTAGGCCTCATTTACCATGCACAGGTTCACTGCAGGGAACTACCTTTTACAGATAACAAAGGAAAGAATGCTGCTAATTACTTCAAAGAGAAAAATGTTTCAGAACAGGGGGGAAAGTGGTTGAACCAGACACACTCCATCCTTGGGAGGTTTAGCACAGATTTTAGGAAGTTACAGTAACCACATGTGCCTCAATTCAGGGTGAGGGAGTTTTAGCAAAAGCAAGTCTCATAGCAGTGTAGGCACAATGCAGGCCTGATTCCCCACAAGAAAACCACCTCTTAGTGGTCATGGTCCTGGGTGCCACTCACACCACAGCGGTTTTTCACATGAGGGCTGAGCTACATTTCCACACAATGCAAAGCGATTCTCTACAAACATCCACACAAATATACTAAAGAAAAGACTCCTGAAGATGTGAAAATAACCTAGCAACACCTACTGGGGGGCTAGTGTGCTCCAGGACTGTGCTATAGGGAACCATTTCATGTGGCGTGGGAAATGTAGCCCAGCCCCTACTCAGAAAGGCTAGTGGGGAGCGAGGTCTGACACACAGGACCCACGCCCAGAGATAGGTTCTCCTGTAGAGAATTGGGCCTGCATTGCACCTAGGCTGCTTTGAGACTTGCTTTTGCTAAATATCCCTCACCCTGAATTGAGGCATAAATGTTCACTGCATATCTTTAAAGTAACTTCCTAAAATCTATGCTAAACCTTCCAAGTATGGAGTGTAACCAATTAAACCACCTTCCCCTTTACATTTGCAAATATCCTTCTTCTGTGATGTAATTAGCAACATTCTCTCCTCTGTTTTCTGTAAAAGGTAACCACCTAAAGCAAACCTGTGCATAGTAAATGAGGATGATTCTCAATGTAATGTGCCTGGAAAAGCAACAAAAGCTTGTCCAGGCAGGGGTCAAGGCCCTCTCTCACTCAGAGAGTGGCCAGCTGTCCCTTTTTCTCTACAGGACTTCTATAGTCCATGTGAATTTGTTCACCGCAGCCACAACACACGGACCTCAAGAGCCGTGTCTGCATCACTGTGCTAAATGCTTTTCACACCATCAGTTCATTTATTCTTCAAATAAGTTCCACTTCTAACTTCATTTTTTAGCAAAAGAACCCAGAGACGGAGAAACAAATTGCATGCTAACATCACACTGCTGGTAATTAGCCAACACTGAACTTCAAACTCAGGTCTCTGACTTGCCAATGTCCCTACTGTCCCAAGAAAGCCACAGGGAGGTTCACTGCTGGAGGTACTGGCTGTGTCTGGCCCCCACTGAGCCACAGTAGTGCTTCAGGACAGGCTTTTCATTACCGTACATGGGGTAGGGAATCATTTTGAAAAAGGTCCCTCTGGACCAAAATATTAACTCCTGGACTGGGGGGTAGGAAAGGGTAATTTTTCTTCCTACCTTTTAAAGTTCTTCTGGCTGTGCCAATAACCAAATTGACACAGAACACACTGACAGGAGAAAATGTCTAAATTTATTACACAGGTACATATGAGGGTTCCATAAGACTGCAAAGCCTCGGGACAGATCTGGCAGTTGAGGCTTATGAGCCATCTTGAGCTGAAGAGAAGGTAGGGGTTGTAGTCTGGGACTTCAAAAGGCAATTCACGTACAGATAGAAAAGCAAATGTTTGCTGGACCATCTTTAACAACGTGACACAGACAGGACTTTGGCCAAAGGAATTTTGCCCACACTAGTTCATATTAAACTATAATTATCTATAATGACATCTCTCTTCCCAGAAAAGGTCCTCTTATCTAAATGCCTTTTAAGCAGTTAGGGGGAAAGTTGAAGGTTCTACCAGAATCTTTCCTGTCTTAAAAATAACCATCTTAAAATAATCAGTATCCCAAAGAAGCAGAGTTTGAGGTAGCAAACTCTGCTCCCCTCATTCCCAGAAAATATTTGCTCAATTAATTATCTCTGCATTGAAAAGGATAGAAAGTAATGAATTGATTCATTTTACCCATCAGGATATTAACTCACTGCCAAATATTTATACACACAACTGTCACAGACCAAATGTGCTATTAGGAGCTATGAGAAAATAAGAGACAAGAAAATGCCCAGCTTTGGGGAAACATGCAGGGCTGTGCCGAGAGACTGACAGAGGTGCAGTGAACACACACTGTAACTCGGGGCCCCTCTTGTGGAGCCGACACTGTGGCCAACCCATCAGGGGGTCAAGGTCATGGGTGCCTCCGTGGACCAGCTCTGGCTGTTACTCTCGGGCCCTACTCTCTGGAGCCCACCTCCTCCCCTGCTCTGCCCATTGGAGTCCTATTCATCTGCAGTGTCTTGGCTCCCAGTCCCAACTCCACACCACCAGCAGCTGTGTGGCCTCTCATCATGTCACCACACCTCTCTGAGCTTCAGTTCATTTAAAAAAAAAAAAAAAAAACATGTTGGGCAAGGTGACCCTTGCCCGCTCTGCCAGAAATTACAGTCCTAGCAACCACTGTCCTACCATTTGGCTCCGGTCCAAGGGAGGGGGTAGGAACACACCAGACAGGGTTAAACCAGGGGCCTTGCCAACTCTTCCCCACAATCAAAACACCAGCAACCAGCTACAAATCATTGGACAGCAGCAAATCCCTTAATCACCTAAAATCTGTCTTCTGGTTTGCTGAAGCAGCCAAGGACAGGGCGGGGCTTCCACTTGTGAAAAGAAAGCTCTGTGGCCTTTCCCCCACACAGGAGAACATGGCCAAGAGGGTTGCAATTGTGGGGGCTGGGGTCAGCGGCCTGGCCTCCATCAAGTGCTGCCTGGAGGAAGGCCTGGAGCCCACCTGCTTCGAGAGGAGCGACGACCTCGGGGGGCTGTGGAGATTCACTGTAAGTGGGATTTTAACTACTTTTTTTTATCTGCTGAGAAAAGGATTTGACTGGTACAAAAGGGATTGCATTTCTTCTACAAGGGCCAGCTGCTCTAGGGAGGGGCTAGAAATGTCTGCTGAACTCAGACAAGGGGGTAGGGGGGCAAAGTGACCAAGAAGGGCTGCTGAAACTAATGAAGGGAGCAGGACGCAGCCCAAGCTTTGGTGAGAGGTGTGTCGGCCGCCTTAACAACATTATCCAGAGCCCAGAAGAAGGAAGATGCCCATGAAGGGCAGGAGAGGATGGAGTGGCTAGGACTGGCCAGGAGCACCCTGGGGGGAGGGAAGCAGGGGCAGAACCAAGAGGCTGAGGCCAGACCAGAGAGAGCAGGTTCTGGGGCAAAGGTGCAAACACAGTGCCGGAATTCCAGCCTCTGGCTGTAACTCTGCGCTGCTTGTACTTGCTTCTCCTTCTGGCCCTGCTCTTGCTGAAGTAGAACTGCACAGGGCTTGCTGTAGAATGGGCTCGGTCCTCGAGGTCCGCTTTCCAGGCAGTCTCAGCCCATGCCAAGGACAATCAGGAGTCAAGAATGTGTTTGGAGCCTTTTTTGTTCCCTGAGCAAAGTAAATGATATTCTCAAATTTCAGCAGGGCTCCGGTCTGGATTGGAGAGGGTGGTGAGGAGAGGAAGGAGGAAAGGGGACTATAAAGCCCACTGTTGACCATCCTGGGGCAGAGGGGGCCACAGGGGCCCTGCCAGAGGTCCCTGAACCCCTGTGAGATCCGCAGCTCAGCCCGGGAAATATGGGAGATCTCCCAGACCTCCAATTTTCCCTCCCTCTTGGGAGGGCACGACCATTTCCCCTGAGCCTTCAATGAGCTATGCAGAGAGCTGCCAGGAATGGTGGAAGGGAACAAGGTGTCAGGTGTCCCAGCTTCAGAGCCCCTGAGGGGCTAGAGAAAGAGGGTGTTCCTCCAGTACGGTGGGAGTGACTTGGAACTGGGGACAAGTCATCGTTTTCTGACTCATTGAGCAAAGCTCCAGGGAGGTCAAAGTTGCGGAGACCAGCTTGGCTCTCATAAAGAAGGGCTGTATGTCTTGAATTGTGTCCAACCACTGAATGGGACCAGCAGTGCATAGACACCTCCCAAAGGCGAGAGCCAAAAGAACACAGCTGTTCCCAAAATTCAAATGGCCCATGTTCCACTAGGAGAGCAGAAACTGGGCACCCAGGCCATGGTAACTTTCCCTCCCACGTGCACTGCAGACACTGCCAATCAAGCATGATATCCCTCCCCTGATGAGCCTCAGGATCCTTAACACGGTATTCCAAAGAAGCGCTACTAATCCACCAGAGTGGGACGTGGCATGGCCCATTTATAGGGGTAATTAGCAGGGTGATTTGGTTAAAGTCACCTCAACCAAAGCAAAATGTGAGCCCAGGGTTCTCAGGATACCAGATAAAAATGGGCCTTGTATAAGCCACTGACCTATATAATTATAAACACACACAAAATACAAAAATATGATGTCAGAATTAAGAGAAATTACTTCCAGATGCAGCTGTGCCCAACCAGCTGTGTGACTTGGGCTGGTCAAACTTCTCTACACAAAAAGCACCGTGGGGACACCAAATTGAGAAGGATTCCCCCTGCCCTCCAGGAGCTATCAGGCTGATAGGAAAGGGGGAGGCACCTACAAGTCAGAAACAGTGCTATGGGCATTCAAAGGGGGGACAGGATTACATTCACTTGAGGGGAACCAAGGAAGACTTCATGGAAGAGATGGTACATGATGGACTTCAAAGGATTTCAACTGGCAGAAGAGATTGGGTGGGAGACACCAGGGAGAGAACCAGTAAAGAGAAAGTTCTGGGCGTGCTTGGAAAATAAAAATAGCTTAGTGGTATACCATATATATGTGGTATATATTCCTCATGTCAGAGAAATAATGGGAGAGTGGCTGAATGTTTGATTAAAATATTCACACTCGACTTGGAAAGTACTGGGTGATGAGAAAAACAAGGAAGGGGTTTTTTGTTGTTGCTGTTGTGTCTGCTTTGTGTACCTGCTGGGAGGACTCCGCTGTCTACAGGCAAAGAGGAAACGCCCGGGTGGTAGGAAGAGACTGAATGTGCGAGGCCAGATGGGACGAGGTCCTGGCACTGAAAGGAAAGAGTGGAGTCGCAGGCCCACGAGGAATGGTTCGCCTGGCAGAGGGGGACAGACACAGCCTCCTCAGAAGTGGGAGGGAAGAAAAGGGAAGGAAGCATGAGCACAGAGGGGAAACATTAGCGCAGAAAGAAGGAAGACACAGGAGCACGTCCAAGAGGCCTCAACTCTTCCAGGAAAATGTGGCTTCTGGGGAGCATGAAGAGGGAGTGGGGTGGAGGATGAAGAAGGATGAAGAAGGATGAAGAAGGGTGAAGAAGGGTGAAGAAGGGTGAAGAAGGATGAAGAAGGGTGAAGAAGGATGAAGAAGGTGGTGAAAAAATATGGTGAGGCATGTGAGAAGACATCGAAAGGAAGGGGAAGAGGGTGCTCCAGCTGCAGTCGGGTAAACAGCACCCAGTTGACAATCACTCCATTTATATAAAATGAGAACAAGGAACCAGCTTAGAGATAAAGGCTGAATTACTGGGGGGCTGGAAACAGGGAGAACCACCCCTACCTTCATTCAGCAGCCCTCTCTTAACACAGCGGCCTTTTTACCACCTTGAGATGCCCCTAGAGCCTGACGGAAAATCCCTAAACCGGGTGACCTTGAAGGGGTACCTGGCTCTAACGTGTTAGACGAGTCACCTAGGTCTTTCTAGAGACACCCCACCCCCTCCCACCTCACCACACACACACTCCACAGAAGGCTGGTTAGAGGTGCCCACTCAAAACCTGCTCTGGCAAAGGCTGTACTTGCCAGAGCATGTGTACAGGGGGATCCTCCATGCCCGTGCTGGGCAGAGGGAGCCTAATGCAAAAACAGATGGGCAAACTGCAGAATCCCAAGACACCTGTGGACACGGTTTCCATTTCCTCCAAAGACTATGGAGACAATAAACCAGCGAGCTTCATTCGCACTCAGAGGGCATGACTCTGGTCTCATCGGGCCACCACCACCTTTGGCAAGGAGAAAATGAACAAGGGTTGCCATGGAAGGGAGAGGCCACTGTTCACTGGGGCTGGGAAGGGTTACCACCTTTAAAGAGAAAAGGGGTACAATGGCAAAGAACCCACTTCTGACTACCGACTCCAGTGTAGCCAGGAGGTAAAAATGGGCCTGTCGCACACCCCCACTCTCGGGGCCTTGCTAGGGAAGGGCGGCTTGGGACAGCAACACTAGAAGCTGATGACCTCAACTATCCAGTGATGTTGAAGAAATCCAATGTGAGGAGTTGTCCTGTCACTCCAAGTAAATATCGCTCTCAAAGAACCTGAGTTCCAACCTTGAGAATCGGCGCTCGTGTGGAACCGACGCAGCACCCAGTGGTCCAGACTCCATCTGCAGTGGGGAAACATCCTGTGCCCTGCGCTGCACATCCCTGTGACTCAGGCCAGAGCCCGAGAATCCTGGAGTGACATCCTTCCTGCTCTGCACCGTGGTCTTTCCTCTGTCCACGCACCTTTTCGTTTAGTCCACAAACATTTACTGAGCACCTACTATGTGCCCTTATGTGCCATATAAGTTTTAGAATCGGTGAGGACAATGACAAAGTATAGTATTTCACCTCGAAGTCATTATGGAGTGATTTGTGAACAGTGAGAAATGTTCCCCAGCTGTTTCTATGTGAAGCCTGGTAAACCTGATTCTTACGAGCTTTCTTTAAAAGACTTATTTCTGTAACTTCGCTACTCTTGTTAGGACTCTTTTTATTCAAATATTCAAGAAACAATTACTGAATTCCTATTATCTTTGAGGTATAACTCACAGGCTCCTACCTTTTGGGGGATTCCCAGGCTTATCCAATTTAGGCGAGTCCTGTTCCTCTTTTGTACTTCAACTTGCCATAACAAAATGCTTGACATTTTTTGGACCTAGTTTTGCAGAAATGTTCACATGTATCATGCACATCTCTGGACCCATTTAACAGTACGTATTCCAGATTCAGCCTTTTATTAGTGTTAACTAGAACCTGGCAGCATTAACAGAGAATTATTCATTACATGATGCTCTCAGATGCCAGAGAGAAGTAAGGGAACTTTGGCCATACACTGATTGAGCCCAAGATGTTTATAACTGATTTTTTCCCATTATACTGACAAAGGGGAAAAAATCCGAGATGTCTTCAAATAAACTACAGCAGCCTGGCTGGAAAGAAGACACAGACAGGTTAATCAGCTAATAACTTCCGGCCAAACCCAACAAAAGACTGGCAACACTTCTGAATGCATGTTGAAACTCTGAATTAACTTCCACGTGGCTATTTCTTCCATTATTCCAAGAGAATGGGTAGGCTCCTCTGCTCCTTGCTTACACATGAGCTTTCCGGGCCGTTGTTGCTCACCAGCGACCCTGAAGAGCAAGCTCCTGCCTTGTGGATTGTGTGTGTGTCCCCAAACTGCCGTGATTCACCTCCTCCCACCCCCTGCATGTATAGCCAATGCAAATTCTTTCAAAACAAGGTATGTCATTCTTCCCCAAGGGGTGGACACGCCATCCTCTTCACCCAGCCCTGCCCACTGCTGATGATTTAGACTGCACACCCCTGACCAGGCCCCTTCTCCAGTTTCCCAGCGTCCTAACAAACCCTTTTTCAGAAAAGCTTTCCACTCTGAAGGTTTCCGTTTAACAACACAACATCCACTTCCCATGATGTTTGCTCTCAGTTCTCAGTATTACAGCTCCTCACAGCTCATCCTACTGTCTTCCTACAACCCAGAGGAAATTTGATCGCTTCTATTTGGGGTTTTTTTTAATTATTACTGACTTGAGAGAGAGGACAGGAGAAGGGATGGGGGGGAGGAGAAGAGAGAGGGAGGAAAAGAGAGAGAGAGAGTTGATCACTTTCAAACCAACATTGAACTTATTTCTAATGCCTGGCTTCAAGTTAAGGATGTTCTGAAATTCCACTATCCAATAAAGTGACTGCTGATGTAAAAAAAATTTTATGAGTTTATTCAGCCAAACTGATGACAATTGCCAGGAAGCAAAATATCAACAGACTGATGAAATGTTCCAGAAAACGGCAGTTTTGTGGCTTATTTTGTACCTTAGAATCGAAGGAGGAGGTGCAAGGAGGATTATGCAAAAACCACTGGCAGTAGCAGAAAAAGGAAGGGGTAAGCAAAGTGGGGGAACCTCCAGGTTGGATAAAAGGCAAAAAGGAGGAACACACACTTCTTTTGCTTCGTTGGGCACAGGACAGCTACGTTCACAGCACACACACGGATGGTTCGTGGGGACCAAGATCAAAGCACAGGGTTCTGAGGCCCTGTGCTCTCGTCCCAGTGGCTGTGCCTCTGAGAGGTCTGGGAAAGAAAATCACTGTGACATTTCAAGGGTATGTTATCTATCCTAGATACACCAGACAGTGGACGGGCCCCCTGACGTCAGAGACTGACCTTTGTGAAGGAAGCTGTAGGCCTGGGACTTGACCTGCCTCGTTGGGAACTTGTGGTCAGACCACCCTGTGCAGTCACAACTGGTCACAGAGCCTGTCAGGCCTGCCCTGTGGGCTCCTGAGCCTGTCCAGGTGATGACACAGCCCTTTCTTGTTCACCTCGCCATCAGCCACATGTAACTGTAGAATATCGTTGACATGACTAAGAACCTACATTTTTTGTTTTATTTAATTTTAAAAACAATACTTTCAGCTATCAGAGAACTTTTAAGAATATCTGCTAACAATTTGGGTATATGAACCCCCTTCTTCCAGTGAAAATTCAGCATTTGAATTGAAAAGTGTAAAATATGCACTGGACTTGAAAGACTATGAGGGAAAAATGTAAAATACTTTCATTAATAATGTTTATACAGCCCTGGCTAGTGTGCCTCAGTAGATTGAGCATGAGCCTGCAAATCAAAGGATCATTGGTTTGATTCCCAGTCAGGGCACATGCCTGTGTTGCAGGCCAGGTCCCCAGTAGGGGATGCATGAGAAGCAACCACACACTGATGTTCCCCTCCCTTTCTCCCTCCTTTCCCCTCTGGAAAAATAAATAAATATATTTTTAAATGATGTTTATATTAATTACATACTGAAGTTATAAAATTTTGGATATATTGAGTTAAAATATATACTACTAAAATCAATTTCACCCGTCTCTTTTTATTCTTTTGTCATGGCTACTGGAACAGTTTTAAGTGCCTCTCCATCACATTCCTGTTGGGCAGGACCCCTTACAGCCTTGTTTCTCAAACCACGGTCCATGGACCAGCAGTAAGTGCACAGGAGCTTCTTAGAAATGCAGAATCTCAGGCCCACCAGACCCACTGAATGCATCTAAATGTTAAGATTTCTGGGCTGGTTCTCAACAAGATTAAGAGGCACTGATCTAGAGAGCTGTGCCTCTCAAACTGGGGACAAGATTTAGTGTTTCTTTTATTTCCAATCAAGTAGAGATGGTTAAGTTTGTAAAAGATAACAAAAGTGAACTATTAGAAAAATGAAGCAAAGAAAAATATCAAAATACAAAATCTAAATTTACATACAGTCAAAGGGCCTAAAATAAACTCCAAGAAATGTGTGCCTAAAAATTAGCATCAACTTCATGGGTGTGCACACACACAGACACACCCGCACTCACGTGCACGCACTGTTTGTACAGGAACATGTCGAAGAAGGCAGAGCCAGCCTCTACAAGTCCGTGGTTTCCAACAGCTGCAAGGAGATGTCCTGTTACTCAGACTTTCCATTCCCGGAAGATTATCCAAACTATGTGCCCAATGCCCAGTTCCTGGAATATCTCAAAATGTATGCAAACCACTTCAACCTTCTGAAATGCATTCAATTCAAGGTAAGACCCAACATCAGTTAGCAGCCAGAAAGTACTTTTTAACCTGTTTTCTATGTTCTCTCTGTAGCCTAGTCTTGCACCCCACAGACGAGAAAGTGAACTGGCAAGGCTGATGGCACCTGGTTCCTTTCTCCTGTACTAACCCCAACCCAAGGGAATCTGCGGTTGGAGATGGGTACTTTGTGTAAAGATACACACGCAGAGATTTTCATCTGTAACACTTGTATCTAAGTATTCGAAGGCACCCAAAACATATCAAACCACATCTTCAACGTGAGCCAAAGGCCTGCACACAGGGAAACCAAGAACTTGTATCACCGGCTGCATGCTCTCCTCCTGACTTGCCTTAGATCAGGATGGGCGTGTTCAATGGCCCGCACACAGAGAACCTCACTATTTGAGGGGAAACTTTTCTCAGTGTCCTTGGTGTTAGAAAAACCTTTGAATATTCTTCTCTTTGGCTCTAGGACAAAGACAGGAGGGAAGGACATGAGTAAATGAATATATTCTCTCTCTTTTCTTTTTTCCCCTTCCTCTCCAAGAAACAAATGAACATCCATGTGTTTCCCTTCTCCTGTTTCCCTCCCTACTGAGATGGGTATATTGAGGAGTTCGCAAGGAATTACACAGAGAAAGCAACATGAGTGGGAGAACTGACCAAAACAAAGCAAATGAGATTTACACTCACGACCTTAAAAGTGCTCCTGATCAAAATAAACTCAGAGTTTATTCACTGTGGCATTATTTACCATGGCCAAGACATGGGAACCACCTGAGAGTCAGTGATGGATTAATGGATAAAAAGAATGTGATATATATATATATATATATATATATATACATAATATTATATATGTAATGTACTACATATGTGTGTAAATATATGCAATGTAAATCTTATTATCTAATATATTATATTACATATCTAGTATATTATATATTAAATATATGTGAAGTATATATAGTGCTTCGATAAAGTACAAATGATACAATGATAAAGTATATTATATAAGATGTTTCTACATGTGTCATGTATGTATTATAATACATAATATATAACATGTATTTATATAGTATATATTAATACATAACATTATATATAAAATATGTAATGTATATAATATATATTTCAGCCACTAAAAAAAAAGAAGGAAATCCAGCTATTTGTAAAAACATGGCTAGACCCTGACGGTATTATGCTAAGTGAAATAAATCAGAGAAAAACTAATATTATCTGATCTTATTTAAATATGGAATCTGAAAATCTGAACTCATAGAAACAGAGAATGGATTGGTAGTTGCCAGGGGTAGCCCAATTCTATTTGCAGAATTTTGTTTATTAATTATGTTCAGTCTGAGCTCTAGAATGTTTGAGATGTCAACTAGCCCATAAGCCTTTACTGGAACCTTGATAACTATTCATCACGATGTCTATGATTCTTTTTCAGACTAAAGTGTGCAGTGTAACTAAATGCCCAAATTTCACTGTCACTGGCCAATGGGACGTGGTCACTCTGCACGAAGGGAAGCAAGAGTCCACTGTCTTTGATGCTGTCATGGTCTGCACTGGTTTGCTTACTTACCCAAATTTGCCACTGGACTCCTTTCCAGGTACAACATTTTCTGCAACTGACCTTCATGTGTCTCATGGAGCCATCCTGGTACTCCACCGGCCTGGGGATGAATTCCTACAGTTCCTCCTTTAAGTAGTTCAAGTTGTGAGGCAATGAATTTCTTCCTAATGGGCACTTCCTGGCTAGTTTTTGGCTTTCATATATTCCAAACAATCTATGAGTACCAAAGAGAAGAATGAATAACTAGTGAGAGTTTTATGCTTCACTGAGGTTCAGTGTCCCTCCTTAAAAGTGCCTGGCAGCACTCGGAAAGGCTTCTAAGATGTGAGACACCTAGACAAGTTGGTGGCATGAGCACATTGCCAAAGTTGAGGTTAGAGGCCACCCAAGTCAACCAGTGAATAAAGGAAAAGACAATTTGATTTTTTCATGAGTCACAGAAATTGACTAGATCAGAGGTTTATGGCACTGGGTCACTCATCGACAGGGGGATGAGCCTTGTGAGGCAGGTGAAGACATCTTTGGGGCTCAGTGTCTTTTTCTGTCTTTTGTAACCAAAATTCACATTAATCTCCGTCAAATATCAATCAAATGACAACTCAGAGGGAATAGAAAATCCAATGGTTTGGTTTATTTCATCTTCAGTAAAATATTAAAAAGTTTAAACTTTAGGAAATTTTTTTCTAAATACGACCTTGAGGTCATGATCTCAAGGCTCATCTTCCAGGGAGTTCATGTGTTTCCCCTGGTCCTCAGGCGGGCCCCAGAGGTTACTCGAGTCAGGTCAAGTGAAGCATATCCCCAAAACTGCCACAGGGCAGAATCACTGAAGGAAAGCACCACATTCGGTCTTCTTCCCACTAAGGGGAAACTCTTCCCCACTGTCCCTGAGAGAGGCTCACCAGCCTCCACTTGAACACGGTCAGCAGTGAACTCTTACCACCCCACAACACAACCCGATTCTTCATCCGCTGTTGCTGCTCAGAGAAGATTCCTGAGCAGCAAACTACCCCAAACTCCTAGGAAGGAGTGCCCAGTACAGGATCACTCCAAGAATCAAGGAAGCTCCACGGCATCGAGGCAGCATCCCACTGATCTAGCACTACTACACTCTGCATGACGCGCTAAGAATGTGGAGGTGGATGAGACACCCTGCAGCCTGTATGGAAAGAGAGGGTTTTTATAGGACTCCAGGAGAGACATCACAATCTACATATAACCTAGAGTGATGCCAATACTCATTTCACAACAAACTCATATACTTCCAATGATCCTTGACCTATCCTCCAAATGTCACTCAAGTCAGATCAGAGCAGGAGGAAGCATACTCTGAAAGCAACTGAGCCAATGCATGCAGTTTGACTAGGATGAGCTTGGGACCCGGGGACATGGATTCTAGGCTATACAATTAACAAGTTAATCTTCGGCCTCACACTTTATGTTTCTAAACATCTAGTTTCACGCCCATTAAGTTGAGGGGTTCTTGGTCCTTGCTTGTGAAAGATTCTTTATAAATCAAACATTAGTATATAGGATGTTACTATCCCATTATTTCTATCAACCTTTAAATGGTAATGACTCCTTACACTTTTCCTAGTCAGCATTTATGCCATGATATTTCAATTTAGTAGTCAATCACCTAGTAAAGAAAACTAGAGGCCTATCTAATGAAATGAAGTGCCTTCATTGAATTAATAATCACTAATTTTTATTCACATTTCAGATTTTCTTAAAATTGAGTATGCTACTACAAACAATCTAATTCATGTGTCTAAAGGATGTCAATAACTGAATAATAGTTTTGTCTCACTCGCTGATCCTGTAAAGAATCTATCTGACTTATTTTTTTCTATAGGTATAAATACATTCAAAGGCCAATACTTTCATAGCCGACAGTATAAACATCCAGACATATTTAAGGACAAGAGAGTTCTTGTGATCGGAGCAGGAAATTCTGGTGCAGACATAGCTGTGGAGGCCAGCCACGTGGCAAAAAAGGTACCATTTTTTTAACACCAAGTTCTCTATTCTTTAGTTTTATGGGGTTTTTTATTTACACTGTGATTGCTTCTGAACCCGTAAATAATTTTCTCTATTCTTACTTTTCCATTACACTTGACATTCAGTATTACAATAGTTTCAGGTGCACAGCATATAATTGGATAACTTATGAAGTGATCCCCGCAGTGAGTCCAGGGCCCACCTGATGCCATACCTAGTCATTAGAATATTTTTTACTATATTCCACATACTCGTGCTGTACTTTACATCCCCATGACTGTTTTTACATCTACCGAGAAGGTACCATTCTCGATGTTATTTAATAAAGAGCTTTATCTTAAGACACATGCCTCAGGCAAACAGTGTTGGACACCATGATAAATAATGAAAGGAATAAATATGCCTAAAACACATATACAAAGTCAATTTTTAAACTACTTTCTTTAAATGTTTACAAATTTCACTGCAAAATCTGGGCAGCATCTTTCCTCCAAAACCTACTCCTGAGACTTCTTATTTCTGCTGCCATCCCAGGCATCCCGTGAGGGCTCCTGGAGGCGTCTGGTAGCTCCTTGCTAAGGCCTCCTGTTGGCTCCCTCCTTCTGGTACTGCCACCACCATCATCGGACCCATACCGCCTCACCCCACGGCTGCTGCACAGTCCTAATAATAATGTCAGAAATAGTTACTATTCACTGGAGCTTACTCTGTGCTGAGCACTTGACGGCACTGTCTCGGCCACTCAACGAAACAAGCCACTGCAGCCGGGGCTGTCAGTACCCTGATGACAGGTGAAGACACTGAGGCTAAAGAGGTTGAGGAACCCGCTGCCTAAGATCACATCCCTCATTGGTGGCAGAGTCAGTCTTCAAATCCAGGTCTCTTTAGCTCAAAGCCCCACCTCCAGTCCATCCTTCCACACAGAACAACATCCAGATGCCCAACCACCAACAAATAAATCCTCTGCAAAGCCTGCTTTTGTTATGACACTTATGTTAAAGAAAATAAAAACTTCTAATAAATGCCCTATCTAAAATCATAAGTCGGAGATGTATTACCTCTGCATTATAGGGCTCTCCATAATCTGATCCAAATCTGTCATTTTAATTTGACCCCCCACTACTTTCCTGCATTGACTATAGCCTGACAGGTGTTCTGAGCCCTTTGCAATCCCCGCACCTGTGTTCCACCTCCCCCATAACACCCCCCCCTTCCACAGCGCCCTTTCTCTCTCTTTTTTGAGGAGAGTGAGAGAGAAACACCTATTTGTTGTTTGCCTTATTTATGCCCTGACCTGGGTTCCAGCCTGCAACCTTGACATATGAGCTGATACTCTAACCAACTGAGCTACCCAGGCAGCATGTACCCTCCTCTCTCATTACTGTCTACACAGACATTCCAAGCTATTTCATCCCAACACAAAAGGAGCTCTCACTAGTAAGAAATGATGTGACACTTGTAACTTACAATCCTCAGTTGGCACTTTTTAACTCTTATGATTGCTAATTACATTTATAGTATATGCTTTCATTCCAACTATGCTATGAACTCACTGAGAGCCATTTGGCCAGCAAATACATATTAGGTATTGGCTTCCAAGGTGCTGAATGTTGTGCCAGGTACCGGGGATACACTGAAGAACACGACGACAAAGACAAGTCCCTGCTGTCATGGGGCACACGGTCATGGGAGACCAGGGGCCAGGTAAACGAGGATAAGGAGCTAGATCAACAATTCCAACAGTGAAAATAGCATGAAGAAAGAGGACTGAGAGTGTGTAACTGTGATTCCCTTTTATAACTCTCAGAAGAGAACTTGCTGACTGCTTTGCGGATGGACTAATCTGGAAAGACTTGGCAGACTGGTGAAGTCATCCCACAGGAAGAGAAGGGAGGCCCTGAGACAAATATTAGCCTAGTCTCATGCACTAAGACCGCCACATGCGGGGGGCATATTATTATGACCATGTTTCTAATCAGTTGGAAATGTCTTCAATCAGAAAGCATGCATTGACACACATCTTATTTCAGCATCAAACAAGAAAATTCTCTCAGTTTAAAGAATGATTCATATCTGCCAACATGTCCTACTGGATTCTACATCACAACAGGTTCAGCACAAACACGTCTAGTGTCAGAATCATTGATACACTCACAATTCTTGCCCCACATTTCCTGTATTGTACATACTGCTCCCTTTTAAGGCCAAAGAGCATTTATAACAAAAACACTGACACTAGCTCTAGTCACCATGCCTCAGTTTGTTAGAGGAAAAACCATCTTAAATCCACCTCAAAACCATATTAAATCAGTTGTTTTGCATCTACAAAGTAACAGACTAGTGGAGTAAATTTTCTGAATTTTAAACAGTTGTACAGACAACTCTTACTGTGTTGATACAAAGAAAAACTATTAGCTTAATGAATTCAGTCAGCTGGGGTAAATTCAGTCAATCTGTAAATTAAAAAACAAAAGTCCACCAAAACTAATTGCATTACTGAATTTTACTGTCAGTTCAAATGAAACCCTTTCGAGACACTTTTCAATTACTGCCAAACCCTGTTCTTATTTTGACAACTATTATGATATATCCTAAGGCATGTTAATACTCTAGACACTCAAACCATTATCTCAAAAGAATAACTTTAGGGAAGCCAAACTGTCCTGTCAGGGATGTAGTCTGAGGGTGGTAGATGTTTTGACATCACTCCGTTCGTAAAACTTCTCGTGAAACTTCTCGAGTCCCTGGCAAGCCAGGCCTGTTCCCTGCGTCAGACTGAGCGGCGTCTCCGATTGCTTCCAGGTGTTCCTCAGCACCACAGGAGGCGCGTGGGTGATCAGCCGCCTCTGCAACTCAGGGTTGCCCTGGGACATGGTGTTCACGACTCGATTTCAGAGCATGTTCAGAAATTCTCTCCCAACCCCAATTGTGACTTGGTGGATGGCAAGAAAGATAAACAGCTGGTTCAATCATGCAAATTACGGCTTAGTCCCAAAAGACAGGTAAATATGATGTTTCAGAAGAGGGTTAGTAGAAAGGAGTCTCCCCCCTTCTCATGGAATATCCAAACCACGCAATAACATGACAATATGACTGAATATGAAGGGAAATCTCATACGAACTTCTTTGATCATAGGTAGCTAACCGTTTTTGAGTTCTCGTCAAGTAAAATAGTGAACTGCATCCACCCAACAACACTTACTGTGGGTAAACTGAGGCTTGGGGAGGAAGTGCAGTCATTGCCTAAGCTCGTTTAGTAATAAGCAAGCACTGGGCCGCTGGCCAGTTACCTAAGCCTCAGCTGCAGCAACCCTGCAGGGCTCTTGTGTACTGGTTCCAGGTGTGCGGCACCGTGGTTCGACAAACCTGCTTTACAGAGGGTTTCCCCTGATACTGCCAGTGCCCGTGTGCACCACATGTGGGTGGGTGTGCACCACGTGGGTAACCATACGTGGTATCACAGCATTACTGACTGGATTTCCCAGGCTGGACTTTACATCCCCAGACTGTTTTGTGCCTACTGATCTGTACTTGTCAATGCCTTCACCTTTTTCACCCAGTCCCCCAAACCACCCCCACCTCTGGCAACCATCAGTCTGTTCTCTGCATCTATGAGGCTGTTTGTTTTGTTTATTTTGTTATTTAGATTCCACATATAAGTGCAATCATACAGTATTTGTCTTTCTTTGTCTAACTGATGTCACTTAACATAATACCCTCTAGGTCCATCCATGCTGTCACAAACGGTAACATTTTGTTCTCTTTTACGGCCAAGTAATATTCCATTGCCTCTACATACCACAGCTATTTTATCCAATTGCAGCAATCGCTAGAAAATGATTTATCTACGACTCTCTTGACAAAAGCTACACAGGTGCCTTGTGTCACTAGGTAGAAAAAGAGCAAATTCTAGAGTTGCCCTTCACTATCTCCCTCATAGCAGTGCCTTCTTGACCTTGTGAAGATGACCTTGACTTCCGTCTGTCCTTTGTTACAACCTATGGCTTTAACTCCTTATTCATTGAGTTGGCCCAACAAGGTCACTACTAGGGCGGCGTCACAGCCTAGAGATCCTGTCTCATCTCCCTCCAGATTTAGCTCTGGCCCAGCACGGACCAGGTGGCACCCACGCAGCCATCGTGGGCACACGGTCCCCTACTTGCCACATACAGGTGTTTCTTCTTGCTCCCTTCACCTTCTCTCACATACCTTCCTCTAGCCCTGCTCGCCCTTCCCTGCCATTATCTCCACCTAGTCCTTACTTTCTACCTCCCACTTTCTCCTACTTCCTACATCCAAGCTTCCCAGGGGGTTGGGCTCTTTTCATCAGAGCTTTTTCTACCATAAGCTTTATCTAACCTGGGCCAGCTCATGGGCCAATAAAACATTTCATTTAATCCTGTAAATGCCAAGAAGTGTGAAAGGAGCCTGAGAAATTACTCTTTAATTGCCGAAGTTCTTGTGCGTGCACTCTTTCCTGTGCTCTTCATCCCACCCCATGAACTGTGGCTGCCAACTGTGCCCGGCCCTGTTCGGCCCATAAATAGAAGGAAGCCTGGAGGGACCAGATGACTGCCCCAAGCTCTGTGAAATTGGCACTGTGTCCTTTGCGTGTTCTGTCTTTTGCTGTGGAGTCACCGTAAGCCAAAAATGGCTCCGCTGATTGAAAATCATAGTGTTCTTTCAGTGATTGCAAAGGCGTAGCCCAGAAAATATTATTCCGCCCTCGACCCTCTGAAGACCGTGCATGCTTCCTGGCAGGCGAGAGCCTCGGCGGCGGCGCTGCCAAACACCAAGTCCCTGATCCTCTGCGTCCAGCTGCCCCTCGAGCGGCAGAGAGGCCTGAATGCCGAGTTCAGCCAGGTCTGACTTCCTTCCCCTCCGTAAACCCTGACGTTTCACATCCGTCTGGGTCCCAAGGAAACCAATTCCCCCACCAGGTGCCTCCTCCAAGACCGAGCCCTAGAAGGTGGTGGCCGGCTAGGCAGACCGCCCAGGCCTGGTCCGCTCCCGGAAGCGAGGTCACACACACGCCTAGGTACGGAGCAGCGACTCTCGCCAGGCACCCCCACCCGACCCCGCTGACTTAAGAGTTTAGGGCCACGAACGAGAGGAAGAGGCGGGGCAGAGTCGGCTGAGGCGCCCGGCGCCATCCGGAAGCTGCGGGGGCCCCCACCGCCGCCCCAAGGCCCGGAGGAGCGGGTGGCACCCTGACTGGCCCTCCACCTGCACCGGCAGCGGCAAGAGCCCCCCCCTCCTGGAGGCTTGGGCCTACCTGCGGGGTCTCCACAGCAAGGTCCCAGCTGCGTCGCCTGGAGACTTCACCTCAGAACCGAGGAAGTGGGCACGAGCGCCAGGGCCTCGTCAGCCACTCGGTGGCGTTGGGCGCCCAGAGCGCATGCTCGGCTTCTGAACCGCCGCCCCAGGGGCTGCTGGGAGGGCAGCTCTGCGCGGACCACTTTCTGCACAGCAATTGCACGGGCTGTGCAGGGAGGCGGGGAAGGGCACCCTCTGGCCTGTGGGAACTCTCTGGACAGAGGAGCAGGTGAACACCATTCTTCCGACCTCCCCACCTCCAGAGGGCTGGCGGGGGCTGTATTCGGGCGGGGCTTTGGCCTGCCTGGGAGATCCCCTGGGTTTTCCTGGAACCAGGGGAGCACGCGGGAACAACAGGGCTCACCACGTGCACCTGCTGGCAGCCCCCAACGTGCTTCCTAAAAGTATCCAGCACATCAAGCCCACACGGAGGTGTCTTCTTCTACACAAGACCACTTTCTGAACAACAAATGAGAGAGGGGCTGTATACAAAGGCTGGAGAGCCATGAGAGCTCTCAGGACTGCTGGAATTCTCCCTACTTGGATGGGATGGTAAGGCCCATAGTTTAAGTCCCCCTCCACCTCCACCCGGTGGGCCAGGGCTCTCTGTCCAGGTTCTGTGGCCTGGCTGCAAGGTGGCTGTAATGTATTCCTGGACACATCACCCACGCCCATTTTGGCTGGAACAAAGGAAGCAAGCAGGGTCAACAGGGCAGTACGACACGCACCCGGCTTCCCCGCCCGGAGCCCCTCAGCTTCGTGGGCCAGCACCCCAGGCACTTCACACACCCACTCCGCTCCTGCCAGCCTGCCCAAACCACTCGGCACACGGACTGCGTAGAGTCCACTTCCACATCAGACCACTTTTCCAGGACTGGAGGAGACCGTCATTTGTCTAATTCATATAGACAAACATAGAAAGCCAAACAAAATGAAAAGGCAGACGAATATCTCTCAAAAGAACAAGAAAAATCCCCAGATAGAAGCCCTAAGGAAACAAAGATAAGTGATTGGCTGATAAAGAATTCAAAGAAGTGGTCACAAGGATGCCCACCAAGCTTGTGAGTAAAACAGAGGAACTTCCGGAGAACTTTAACAAAGAGAAAATATAAGAAAGAATCAAGAAGGCCTGAGGTATACAATAACTAAAATGAAAAACACATCAGAAAGGATCAACAGGATGTTAAATAACACAGAAATACAGATTAGCACCCTGGAACACAGACTAGTGGAAATCAACCAATCAGAACAGCAGAAAGGAAAAAGAATTTTTAAAAAATGAAGGTAGTATAAGGGACCTCTGCAATAATGCCAACTGCTCAGTTGCATGATATAGATCTCAGAAGAAAAAAGGAACAGAATTTTATGTAAATAAATAATAGCTAAAAAAAAACTTTCCTAACCGGGAAAAACTAAAGTTTCTGATCAGCAAAGGAAACTATCAACAAAATGAAAAGACAGCCCTGGCTGGTGTAGCTCAGTGGATTGAGCGTGGGCCTTCGAACCAAAAGGTCAAGGGTTCCATTCCCGGTCAGGGCACATGTCTGGCTTGCAGGCCAGATTCCCCAGTAGGGGCCACGAGAGGCAACCACACATTGATGTTTCTCTCCCTCTCTTCCTCCCCCTCCTCTCTAAAAATAAATAAATACAATCTTTAAAAAAATAAAAATGAAAAGACAACCCATACTGAGTGGAAGAAGACATTTGCAAATGATATATCCAATAAAGTGTTAATATCTAAAATACATAAACAACTCATACAATTTAAGACCAAAACAGTCCAATTTAAAAGTTGGGCAGAGGACCTGAATAGACATTTTTCCCTAGATGACATAGAGATGACTAACAGATACATGAAAAGATGCTCAGCATCACAAATCATCAGGGAAATGCAAGTCAAAATCACAAGGAGAGATCGCTTCACATCTGTCAGAATGGCTGTCGTCAATAAAACAAATTACGAGTGCTGGCAAGAATGTGGAGAAAAGGGAACCCTCATGCACTGTTGGTAGGATTGTAAATTAGTTCAACCACAAAGGAAAACAGTATAGAGAGCCCTTAAAAAGTTAACAATAGAGCTTCCATACCAACCAGCAATTCCACTTCTGGGTATTTGTCCAAAGAAAGCAAAATTCACTAATTCAAAAAGATATAGTCACACTTATGTTCCTTGCAGCATTACTAGTAATAGCCAAGATAGGGAAGCAACCTAGATATGTATTGATAGATAAATGGATAAAGAAGATGTGGCATTATCTGTCCAGAAATTATGCAGCCATGTAATATGAAAGACATTTGTTGAAGAAGATACAAGAAACACTGTACATAGGACAGTGACACCTCAGTCCCCTTCAAAGTAGGCACCTTGGGACCTCACACAGTTCTCCCAATTGCCATCAGCTGCCCCATCATATTTTACTGAACCTCATCAACAGTCTGAAATCTCTTTTCTTTCAAAGGTGATTTTAGTTTGGGGAAAAGCCAGAAGTCACAAGGCACCAAATCTGGGCTATAGAGGGCCGAGTCACTGGGGTGATTTGGTGTTTCGTCAAAAAATTGCATAAGACATAATGCGTGAGCAGGTGGGTTGTTGTGATGAGGCTGCCAATCACCATTTGCCCACAGCTGCAACCTACTAAATCATCTGAATAGTTTCCACAGAGAAATGTTCAAGCTTAATGCAAAACCTGATGTAGATTTATTGCTCACTCAGTCATTTTGAATGTGATAGCCACAGAGCACACATACTCAAGGGTGTCTACTACCCCCACTGACTATAATAAAAAATATTACATATATTATATATATATAATGGAATATTATTCAACAATAAAGTGAATGAAATGTTGCCATTTGTGACCTGGATAGACATAGATAATATTATGCTAAGTGAAATAAGTCAGAGAAAGACAAATATCCTATGATATCGCTTCTAGGTGGAATCTAAAATAAAACATAAACAAACCCATAGGTCTAGAGAACAAGCTGGATTGCCAAAGAAAAGGGGGTGGGGGATGGGAATTTAAAAAATAATGCTCAGATTTTCTGATGATGACATGTCAATGCAGGTTAATTGACTGGGATAAACACACCAGTCTGGTGGGGGATCAGGAACGGGGTGGCTGTGCATGTGGATGGGTGAAGGAGATATCATAAATCTCTGTACTTTCATGAACCTAAAACAGAAATAAGAAATAAAGTCTTATTGCTGCCCCCCTTAAAAAAATATTTCAAGCTCTGAGAGGGAAAAAAAAAGACTGGCATCTTCCATCTTCTTCCTAGCCAGGAGCAGGGTTTCCCAGTGAAGACAGGAAGGGAGGAGGTGGGAAGGCTACTGTAACATTTGCTGGCAGATCTATCTCTCCCTGTGTTTGCTCAGGACACAGCTGAAAGAGTATGTGATAAATGATGAGCTCCCAGGCCGCATCATCACTGGAAGAGTGTTCATCAAGCCAAGCGTAAAGGAAGTGAAGGAAGACTCAGTCATATTTAACGACCCCCCAGAGGAACAGCCCATTGACATCATTGTCTTCGCCACTGGATACACCTTTGCTTTCCCCTTCCTTGATGAAACCGTGGTGAAAGTCGAAAATGACCAGGCATCGCTGTACAAGTACATCTTCCCGGCACATCTGGAAAAGCCAACCCTGGCTGTCATTGGCCTCATCAACTCCTTAGGCTCCATGATACCCACAGGAGAAACACAAGCTCGATGGGCTGTTCGAGTCCTGAAAGGTAAGTTAAGTGCATGGGAAATAGGGCAGATGCATGCAGTTTGCCATGTTATTTTGGATCCTAGAATGTAGAGATCCTCCCTCGTTCCTGTTCAAAGCAACGGAATCTTTAAAAGCAGGATTCATGATCTGAATCACACTATCAAAATGCACTTATAGCCCTGGCTGGTGTAGCTCAGTGGATTGAGCGCAGGCCTGGGAACCAAGCAACCACGGTTCGATTCCCAGTCAGGGCACATGCCTGGGTTGCAGGCCAGTTCTCTCCCTCTCTCCTTCCTTTCCCCTCTAAAGATAAATAAATAAAATCTTTAAAAAAATGCACTTATACTATTACCAGCACAGAGATAAACTAGAGCTTCAAAAACTACAGGGTCCAGCAGAAGTAAGGCCTGCTTGAGTGTGGCTGGTAGGGTAATAACATGGGTGTAATAATTTATAGTTTTAATTTGAACATTTCACCTACAGGGTCATATGGTGTGCTTGAGTGCGATATTGTTAAGTTATAGAATGACAAGCTTATGATTTTGTAATAAAAAATTTTGTAATAAAAATTTTTGTAATAAAAAAGGGGCGTTATTTGTGCCAGTATAAGCTGTATCTACCTGTTAGGTTGACCAAATCAACTGGTTCAATTCAAATGGAAGCATTTGGTCAAGTCAGTGATAAAATTCAGGCAAACCAGTTGTGAGGTTCTGCCATATCAAGTAAGAAGGGTGGTGACCAGATGCCAGCTGGGGGCAGTATGGCCAGGAACATACCACCGATCCACTTAGGCTGCTAACACATTTGCCAGAAGAACCAACAAGTAGAAGTGGGTACTAGAAACAGAAGCTGAGCAGTAGTAAAGCATCTTTACCCACTAAACAAGCACCTGAAGCTGCAGTTGAATTGCATTTTTCTCTGTTTTTAGGTGTGAATAACTTACCACCTTGCAGTGTCATGAGAGAAGAAGTTAATAGGAGGAAAGAGAACAAGCCCAGTGGGTAAGCTAACTACTTACAGGTCCTTTTCGAACGATAACTGAAATTGGTAAAAAACCATAACAAAGATAGGTGAGAAGTACACTAGAGAAAAAAGAAGTACCTGAGACTTAGAAGGAAACACTAGGAGAGAGGAGGGAAAGGGAAACTGAGAAGTTTTAATGTCCCCAAATCAAACGCTTCCGACCATGGTCATCCGACATCACATGGGGTTTGGGGTTCTAAACCAAATATCATCAACCCTTCTCTACCAGATATACCGCAGCTTCTTAATCAGCAGGCAAACAGTTAAGTTTAATCACTCTGATGCTGGAAGGGTCTGCTCATGTATTCATCAACAAACCCGGTATTCCGCCATCTTATTTTGATGAGACCCAATTTAGAGCAAGAGCCGGCACACCAAGGCCTATTGGCCAAACCTACTAACCACCTATGTTTTTCTTTTACATTTTTAAATGGCTGGGGGTAAAAAATAAGGAGGATATTTTTGTGGTATGTGAAAATTATATAAAATTAAGTGGCCATAAAGTTTTATTAGAACATAGCCTCACTCATTAATTTACTTATTGCCTGTGGCTTCTTTTGAGTAGTAACAGCAGGGTGAGTAATTGAAATAACATGGCCCACAAAGCCTCAAGTCCAAGTGCAGCCTTTTGCAGAATAGGTTTGCTGATGCCTTCCCTAGAGGAGAGGTCTTTTCACTTTTCTACTCTTTATCTATCGTTCATAGGTCAAGGATAATGGGAGGGGTGGCCGGAAAGAAGGGAGTCTTGCCCTTCCTCCCGCCACTCTCACTCCTCATCCAACCAAAACATCTCCAGTTTTATCTGTTTTACTACATATTTAGAGCTCTGTTGTAAATTTTTACTTCAAAAAGATTTCTGAGGACAAAAAGAGTTTTAAAATCACTGCATTTAAGAAACTTATCACTTCTCTCATTCATATATATACTTCCAAAGTTCAAATGTTGATCTGCCTCCATGGTACATCCCAAAATAATAAAACCATTTCAGATGCCTCTCCTTCATCCTGAACCTGATATGGTTTGATTTTCATTGTGGAATTATGGTATAACACAGACAGTTAGAGCTACGCAAGGTAAAAGCTTCTTTTCACATGGTCACTCAATGATTTTAGGGACTAATACCAGCATTACAAGGAATTCCACCCTATTGTTTTTGGTGGGTTTTTCAATATTGTACAAATCTAGCAACGATTGAGTTTTAGAAAGATTTAGGAGTAACAGAATTATGTAAAATACTCATATCTTTTTCTAGAAATTGCTAATCATTTGACAAGCGAATTACAGTATTATTAGAGGCGTTGTGAGCATGTAGAATGCCATACGTAGACATTGTCTTTCCAAGGAGCCCATCTTGTATTTAACTAGTACAGTGAGGCCACTAGGCAGTGATAGGCATGAAGGGAAGAGTCCAGAAACCATCTTAAATTTTGCAGCATCATTGTTAACTTTTGGCACTTGTGCTTGTTCTGAGATTACCATTATTTTATCTTTTTGTCTTCCCCTTCCTCCCCAATCTTCCTTTTATACAGGTTTGGCTTCCGCTACTGCAAAGTTTTACAATCAGATTATATCCCATACATAGATGAGCTTCTGACTTATATCAATGCTAAACCCAACCTGTTCTCTCTGCTCCTGACGGACCCACGCCTGGCGTTGACCATCTTCTTCGGCCCATGCACACCATACCAGTTCCGCCTGACCGGCCCAGGAAAATGGAAAGGAGCCAGAAAAGCCATCTTGACGCAGTGGGACCGAACCATCAAGGTCACCAAAACCCGCACTGTACATGAATCCCCATTTCCCTTTGCAAGCTTACTCACTGCCTTTCTGGTTTTGCTTGTGGCCATTTTCCTGACTTGCCTAAAGATGAGCTAAATAACATGTCATATACACAGGGCCACCTGCCTCTGAATCTCTGCAAAACACTAGCAATGGTAGCTGAGTTTCCTGCTATATAGGGCCTGGTCTCCACAGGGAAGGCTGAACCACGCAGTCCAACCTATCAGAACACTCGGACGAGGAAACATCAGTTGATTTTGTCCAAGATAACAGAGCAAGTAAGTGGCTAAGTCGGGACACAGGTCTCTCTAGCAGACAACCAGGGCTCTTGACTCCACCACTGAAGCCTGGTTTCTAATGTTGAAATGGCTGCAAAAGTCTTAGAGTGGTATCACAAAAGTGACACAGCAAGGACATTAGTCCATGAAAGTACCTGTATGTCTCTCTCCCTTTCTCCACCAATGAGGGTGTGCGGTTGGAATTTGGCGGGTCTATCCCTTCATGTACATTGCTATGTTTCTGAGTGTCCACATGAATCTTTCCCCCCATTTATCACCCCTTCTTCTTCTCTGACCACATCCATGCTGGACCTATCCTATGTCCATAGAAAAAACAAACTCAATAGAAAGAAAGGCTTCTCATGCCTACTTTTGAAATCATTCCATAAATCATACTGGAAAACACACAGTATTGCTTTTTCCCATTCATAAAAATAATTAGTCAAGTCCCAGAAATTTAGCAAAAGAGGAAACTAGTCAAACACATTGGCTTTTTGCACCCATTTTTCAAATCCGGGCTTCTAAAATATTTCATCTCCCAGAGTAATTTGACATTTTCAGAAATCCTTTTTGGTGTATACAGATAATGCCCTTTGCCAGGCCGGTCTTAAGTAACAATGCCTGTCTACATTTCAACGCTCTGGATCTTGCAACATTCCCTACTGCAGGGGTCGTGGCCAATGCTTAGAGAACTGACCCCAGTGACAAAGGTCTGCCGCGTAGCAGCTGTGTGACCTTGAGCAAGTCATTTACTTTTCCTAAGCTTTAGTCTTTCTTGCTGCAAGATACAAACTCTAGTACATCCTACTTCATAAGGGTATTCTAAGGATTCAATGGCGGGATCTACGTAAAATGCCTAACACAAGTCCTGGTGTTTGCTGACAGCTATCATTACCATATCTGCTTAAGCAGGATGTGTTTTCATGCTTCCTCATTTTTCTCTGAGCCATAGAGCCAGCTCCTAACAGTCCCAGTGGTACATGTCATGGGCTTCTCAAATGCAGCATGCACAAAATTAAACTCATTATCATCCCCAACAGCGCCCCCTACTCACTCCCTGATAGCATCCTCTCCAGAATGTAACACGTGCTAGCATCAAGTGACACGCTTATTGGCTCAGTGGGTTGAACACCAGCCTGCAAACCAAAGGGTCGCAGGTTCAATTCCCAGTCAGGGCACATTCGTGGGTTGAATCAGGTCCCCAGTAGGGAGTGCATGAAAGGCAACCATACATTGACGTTTCTCTCCATTTCTTTCTCCTTCCCTTCCCCTCTCTCTCTGAAAATGAGTAAATAATAATGAAATAAAAGGGAAAAGACAATAGAATGAAAGCTGACTCTTGAAGGCCATTCGGCATGATGTTACTACATATTTATTGAATAAAATCAGGTGCCTAACTAACAGTCTCTTATGAGAATCAAAAGGAAAAGAATGAGTGTAATGACAGACGTAGCTGTCACCAGAAGCCAGTGTTTCCCAACCACTGCCAAGCGCAGCGATGCTTCTCTTAAAAAGCAAGGGAATGTGGCGCTTATAGAATAAGACAATGAAAGTGGGACCCTGGGGTCCTAACATCGTACAAACTCCCCCAGCGACGTGAAAGCCAAGTTTGAGAGTCATTTCCGAGCACGAAGCAAAGGCAGCCCAGCCTGGTGGCTCAGATGGGGCTGAGTTCCAGCCGTGGCCCTGACATTTATTGGCATGCGGGCACATCGAGAGCCCCAGGTCCATTTGTCCACCTGTAAGAGGAAGGGGTCACAGTGCCTCCTTCCCAGGGTTGCTTCAGGATGCAATCAGCTAGGACCACGGAGTGCCTGGCACAGACCTGGAACAGAGAGAGCGCCTGGTGAACGTTAGCTTGGGAGTTAGTATAAAGGGATGCCATTTTTTCTCTTAGAGAAAAAAAATGTAAAGAATAAATAAATTACTGGTACCAAATTAAATAGAACTACCTACTCCCATTTCCAATCGTTTAAGTCATTTGTGGGAGAAAAGCAGCTATAACATAATGCAAAGTACTGTGGAACCGAAGCCATAAAACCTAACTCGAAATTCCATCTCTGGCACTTAGCAGTTGTGCGGCCTTAGAAAATCACTGCACCTTCCTAAGCGCCCACGGGCTTACCTGTAAGACGGAGGTTAATAGCACCTGCCTCCAGGAGGGCTGCCACCAACCTGACAGGAGAGAAAGGATGCCCATGAAAGCACCTGATGAAGATATTTCGTAAAAGGTAGCTTACTGCTACACTCTAACTTGAACTCGTTTATTGACTAGACCAACAACACCATGTACTACCCACAAAGCAACTGCAGCATGATGTTGGGGAGAGAGGGCGGAGGGGAGAAAGCACGAACACCAGGGAAGGTAAAAGCCCAGGATCTTGCATCAAAGTGCTTGATTTAAATCCCAGCTGTCCTAGGCACCGACAGGTGTGATTTTACCAAAATCACATAATCCCTCCAAATCCCAGCTTCCTCCTTGTATAAACTATGAGTGAAAATAATACAGACCTCTAAGGGTTATTGAGAGAAGAATCCAGGAAATCCCTCTATAAATGTTACTAAAAGCATGAAATGTCCTTGGAATCTGTTAAGGTTTCCCTCTCTTCGGCTTATTTTGATAGTAAACAGACACAACAGTGCAGCGATGGCCAGAGGGAAGGGGGCGGGGTGGGGCAGGGTGGAGCCGGGATGGGTGGAGGTGGGCAAAGTGGGTAAACAGGGACGTCTGTAATACTGTTAGCAATAAAAAAATATTTAGCCCTAGCTGGTGTTGTAGCTCAGCAGGTGGGCATTGTCCCGCAAACCCAAAGGTCACTAGTTCAATTCCCAAACATAGAGATACAGACAAGCCAATGGTTGCCAAAGGGGGAAGGGGGCAGTTCTTGGAACAAAAAATAACACTAATAAAATAAATTAAATGGGACAACTGGTGGAAAAGAATACGGTACGTGCACTGATTTTTTTTTTAGATAAATCAGGAGATTACAAAGAAATTGGGCCACTTGGAGGCTTTGCTTCTGCCCGTGCCTTCTCTCTCAACCCTCATAGAAGAACTCAACTCAGTGCTCAGGCCTCCCAGACTTTACTGATACTCACACACACATCACCAGTTCTGTGGGCAGGTTTGAGGCATCCCACCGGAAACGCAGAAACATTAACAAATGGCTCCCCCTGCTGACCCAGCTTTCAAAGCAGCTTTCCAAAACTACCGTAGTGACTTCTGTACTAAAGAAGGGTCAGGCTCACTCAATGCTTTCTGAGGAGCTGTTTACCAAAATCTTCATTCCATTCAAAGAGTTGCATGCTTCTGGTTTTCAGTGGGGAACACAAGGGTCCCAGACGGATGGATTGGATGAGACCAGTGGCTTTTAATGCCCCTGCTACCTACACTTCAGGGGACCAAAGATACTTGAATGGGAGGAAACCATTAAAGCAGGTCTCCTGCAACCCCACCTGCACTCCGGCTTTTCTGTTTTACATATTAGAGTACCCGGGTGATTTTATTAGGGAAAATGACACCCTGCTAAAAATTTGGAACCTACTCACCCCTACTCATCTGAGGCAAAAGGATTCTATGTATAAAACTCCAACTACTTCTTGTCCCTGGTTCTGCAAACAAGTGGAGATGCCCAGTAGAAGTAGCTGGATATACAAGACTGAGCCCTGAGACACAGTGGGTTCTCATAAAGAGAGCTCTGGGTGCTAGAGAACTCTGAATACCTGCAATAAATTCAGCAGGAGGCATTACTTCTTATATCGTTGTTCTAGGTATCAACTGAAGTCACTGAAAGCCATTCTAGGAGGGACCAAAATAGCCCAGTCTGAGCAAGCAGGTATCTGATGTTCAGAAAGGATGAGCTGTCCTTTAGAAATCTTCCCTGAATGTGACTCCTGTCCAGTGAGATTTCGGCGAGACTGCAGCTCCCTACAGATAAGTGATCAATCAATTCCGCCAAAGTGTGTAAAAGCACTGAGACAGCCGAAGGGGACCCAGACTTCTGTGCCATAGGGTTGCCCGCAATAACTTGAGCCCCCAAAATTCTCTGCACTGATGTCACCAACTGCCCAACTGGTAAAAAGGAAAAGAGACAACTCCGATGCACTGTCTTCATTTCATTTGAGCCATGTGCTTTGTGGGGAATCCCTCCAGAGATTCTAACTGCAATACGTAACCCTGGCTAAGGAAATGACCTGACCTGTTGCAACGTGGGACTGTACCTCCCAGAAATGAATAGGTGAAATAGATGTGCTCCCTGCCCCCCCCCCGGTAGAGCTTACATTTCAGCAGAGAGATGGCGTTAAACGAATCATCACAAGATAAACAGGTAATTTCAGGCTGTGCAAAGTGCTTGGAAGGGACGGTCTGGGCAGGAGAGTATGACATGCTCCGGGGGGAGAACATGAGAGAATGACCTGATTTAAACTGTGAAGGTCACACTGAAGACCTTGCAGGTCATGGGGACGCTGTGTGTTTGACTTCAGGTAAGTGTCGTAAACAAAAAGTACTGCAAAGGAGTTTTTAACAGCCTAATTGAGCTACAATTTTCCTACCATACAATTCGCCCACAGTAAGTCTACAGTTTGATGTTTTAATAAATGTACATACACGTTATAATTGGGTGCAGAACGTTTACCAACGTTTTAAGTGAATGGGCCATTTATATTTCTTCCTTGGTGGTTTCACGATTCCTATTGTTCGCCTTATTTATTATTAATGATTATAGGGGCTCTTTTGGTTTCACAAATATTAACCCTTGTGTGCTATATATGTTGAGCATAGTCCCTCTTAGTCTGTCTGTCTCTTATCTTTTATTTTATGGTAACTTTCATCATGAAAGCACTTCTAATTTTACATAAGCTCTCTGTCTATCTGGGAGAGGGTGGCTTCTAGGTTTGGTGTCTGGCTTGTGTCTTTCTCTCCCCCAAATTACTAAGATAATCTTTGTATTATTTTAGCACATCACAAAGTAGTTTATTATGCTTAATCCTCTGAACAATTTGAAATTTAGTTTATAACATGCTGCGAGATAAGAATGAAGTTTTATCTTTTTCTCAATAACAACCAATTTTCTCACTAGTATTTATTAAATACTCCATCATACCCTTTGATTTGAAATGCCACCTTTAATACACTAAATTTCCATAAGCATGTGGGCAAATGTTACTGGAATCTTGAAAGTACATTTTTATGGTAAGAGATGACAGTCATTCCTGATAATAAAATCACAGTACTGAGGTAGCAGTGTGCTTGTCTCCCCAGCAAGGGGTCCTGTACCCACCAGAGAGAGAGATGATGTCAAGCCATTATGGACACGCTGCTTTGAAAGGAGGATATAGGCTGTGCCACATCAGATTTTACTTCCAAACGAACTCAGTATCTGTTGAGCCAGATTTTCACGATGCTCCCGAAGGATGGCTTCTACTTCAGCTTCCGTAGCTCTGGGGATCATAAAAAGCTAAACAGCTACGTTCAGAACACATTCCTGACCACAGAGGCAAAGACCAAGGAAAGATCAATAAAAGCTGCAAGTAATTCAATGCTTAAAAAGGCAATGTGGTCACAAGGTAAGGGACGAACAGGCGATGATGGTCAATATTGGATGAGCGGTGCCCACTTCTCTCCTGCCTGCCCTGTGAACCGTATTTACCTGTGGGACCTGGCTGCACTTTGTTCAGGGGGGAACTTACTGGCAAGCATTTTGGATTTAACTAGTGAATTAAAGGTCTATGATCAGTGGGGAATAAAGCACTGACCTACACAAAAAAGGAATAGGCCATACTTAAGTCCTGCCAGATGGGACCATCCTAATGGTTAAAATACGAGCAAATGCTACTAATTAGAAAGCATCGTTCTCCAAGCCTTGGATATCCTCGAGGCTGAAGGTTTCCATCAGACACTGTTTATCTGGGGCAATGCATTGTGGGAATTTTCTCAGCCAGAAAAAAGCGTGGGGTTAATTTCCTTACTTGGTTTTCTTCTACTGTTACATTCCTAAGAAACTAAGAGCAAGGGTTTTGAGTTGAATCCGTTCTTCCGATATTCTCATTAAAACCAGATCAAGTTATTAAATACTTCCTTCTCAAAATCTATAATATTAAAATAGCTACTATACACGCCACTCCCTTTTTACAGATGAGAAAACTGACACTCAAAGCACGTAAGCAACATGAAACTAGTGTATGGTGTGACCGTGATTTAAATCTAGGTCCAGCCGATTCCAGGGCTCACGAACTGAACCAATATACCACACCCACTCAAAGCCAGGAGCGGACGGAAGGGCTGGGGTACTGGGCGTGAGCTAAGGAGGTTGTCATCTTCGTCTAGCACAGAAACTCTTAGTAAAGGGGTTTTATCTGAATTTCTCTAGCTAGAAATGAGAAAAAGCAAGGTGTATTTTCATAAAGCCGGGTACACAAATCATCCTACAGTAGCAGCACTTAAATTTATGAAGTTGATGTGTAGTAATTTAGAGGACTTGTGTATTTTGCTGTCATTGCTGTTTATCTTCCCCAACAAAGGGCAGACTCATGAAACCATCCTAAATTGACAATGTTTGGCCAAATTTTGCATCCTCCTACCACAGTCAAATGTCTCAATTTAATTTCAAACTAGAATTTTTAAATGTTACTTTTTAATGCTTCTCCTTTACTGTTGACACAGACTACGTTATGCTCATTCTCCACCTGTTTCCTTATTCACTGTCACTCAAGGCAGGTGACATGTACAGTGCAGCATGTCATTTGGTCTTATGGTCAGATAAGCAGCAATTATGAGCAGTAGACTTTAACCAAATCTGCTGAACAACCAGGTCAGATTATGTGGGTCAGGGCAAGGGATGGAGGAAATACTGAGTGTATCTGATAAAAGTATAACCTAGAAGTCACATTAGGTGAAAAAAGAAGGACTCCACTGAGTGGGACAAATTTTAAAAGACAGCATTAAATCCAGAACCCTTAACTTTCAGATAAAAATGCTAAGAGGGTAGAGGAAATAAAGCAAAATCAAGGCAGGACCAGCTGCCCTGATTCTAGGTCAGATACCTGAGCTTTCAAGGCTGTAGGTAAATCCCACTAGGCAACAGTAAATTCCTCCACCTCCAGGAGAATGTCCCTTTACCCTGAAAAATAGCCCAAACTTGTCCAAAAGGAAGAGGTTTGGATTCATACCCCAAAAGTGAAACTAGACACAAGTGAGTTCATTAGTACTTTGTTTTTCTAAACCAGCCAAGTATTCGATCCAGAATATCAAATCATGCCCATCATTTATTGCAACTAGAACTGTTTCCCAGCTACAAAATGCTTTAGGTTGAAGCTTCCGGGTTGGAAGCTTGGACTTTGGTGGGTGACCAAGATAAATAGGGAGGGTGGACATGACTTGTCTCCGCCTAGGACTCTGCACACACCCAACTGGCCCAGCCTCCCATCACTCCTAGACCATCTATGCTTTTCTACCATGTTTTTGAACTCACAGACGCCATCTGTAGAATCTCTCTACCCTCAAACACTTCTGAGTGGCCCCTGCTCTCTGTGCTTCCCAATAGCCCCTGCGTGCGCATGGCTACACATGGATCCTTCTCAAGTGAATGACACTTTTCCCACATTCAAGGTATCACAAAGCCTGGAGATGATATAAGCATCCTTGTTTCTCATTCTCACATAGAAAACCAGAGCAGAGGATTTAACCAGGGCAGAGGATTCCACAGGATTCAACTCTGTAAGGAATGTGCCCTTGAACTCTGGCAGTGTCCACTACCTCTTCATTTGGCATCATCCATCACCTTCCCACCACTCGCCCTTGTTCTTTGAAGATGCGAAGCTCCTGGTTTCCTGTGTTCCTCTCCAGCACAGTCGCCACCATCAACCTCACAGTTGCCCCCATCAACCTTGGTGCAGCTACAACCAAATATGCTAGCCAGCCGAGACCTCGACCTCTCAGGTCCTCAACTTCCTCATCACCAAGGATCACTTCCTGTCTCTGGAATCTTTGCTTCCAGCATTCATTCTCAGATCACTGCTTTCTAGCTCTTTCACCTCATGAATCCTGCAGCCTCACCAGAAATCCAACCTCCTGTCACCACGGTCTCATGGCCCAGCAGCACCTACCTCATCCACACGTGACCATCACTCCCTGCAAACACTATACCTGTCTTGCCCCCTTTTTTATTTATCTTAGTATGAGGCAAAGCTTGGATGTGGCTAAAACCAAATCTCCATCTGCCTAGCAGCTGCACACAGGCCATTGAAAACAGATTAACACACAAGAGTGCTGACTGGTTTCAACTTTAGCTCCTGATGGGAGCTATAGAGCTCCTCCCGGCAATAGAGCCAAAAGTCTGCGTTATCTGGGTGAATCAGCTCAGGTGAGTGAGAGTGAAAGGGAAACAGGAAATAATCATGAAAATAGGGGCCAGAGACACACCCACAGGTGATAAGACTGTGTCTGGAAACCAGCCAGTGTCTTTCCAGAACGTGCATTTCTCCTAAAACTGCTGTCTAACTTTCAGGTTCATCCAGTATTTTAACGCAATGTTTCTCGGTGACATGGCCTGTTCCTAGTACGTGACTATAAAGACCTGAGTCCTCGCTGTCCTATGTGCTGTTTCCCACAAAAAGAAATGGGGTGAGAAGTTCTGAAATAACTCCACCCAGATGGTTAAAGCAATACAGAGTTGTACAAAATTAAACGCACCTTAAAATAACCCGCTGGAACAAATTTACCCAGAAGTGGGACTGCTGGATCAGATGGTGGTTCTATTCTTAATTTCTTGAGGTATTGATAGGGAACTCAAGAGTTGGAAAATTTTAGTCTAAGTAATAGCTAATAAGCTTAGCAATCAATGCACATAAAAGCTAGTGTTCCAGGAACTGAAGGTGTGACCTACCCTGACTCCAGGAGTCCATAAGCAGTTCCACCTTTGTGCCTCAGGAGGACTGTGAGCAATTCAAGATGGTATCTGAGCCACTGTACTGACGACCACTCAGGACACAGCTAAAGACCACCACCCAGGGCCCAGGGTGAGAATACTACAGTTTTAAACCCAATTAACTTTTCCCTGAATTCCAAACCCCTTACCTACACTTTGTTCTCCTTATAACAAGGGCCATTTCAAAATGGAATGTAAGACTTTCTGTTAAGATATGAACCCACCATCTTCTCAGATCACTGGCCATCTGAACAAAGCACCCAAAAAGATTCAGTCCCTGTCTCTGCTTATTGGGTTCGGTAAGTGCCAGGCAGCACAAACGCTGGTTTTTTCCAGTTTCAGTATCTCCATACTGCTTTTCAAAGTGGCTGCACCATTCTGCATTCCCACCAACAGGGCACCAGGGTTCCAGGTTCCCCGTGGACTCTCCAACACCTGTCCTTTGGACTTTTTGCTGCTGTTTTTGTCTGATAATAGCCATCCTATCAGGAGTGAGGTGATACCTCATTGTGGTTTGGATACCTCACTGTGGTTTGGTCTAGATTAGTGATGCAGAGCATCTTTTCCTGTGTCTGTTGGCCAAATCAGGATCTTGCAGAGACATTAGCCCTCTTTTGCTTACTGTACCTCCGTTTACAGTAACCACTCATGAAACAACTGGAACTCCCATCAACAGGTGAATGGTTCACCAATGTGTTGCATTCATACAGTGGGACACCACTCAGCTTTTAAAAGGAGGGAAATCTGCAACGTGCAACAACAAGGATTAACCTTGAGGACATTGCGCTAAATGAAATGAGCCAGTCCCAGGAGCACAAATGGCCGTACTATATGAGGTATCTAAAACAGCCAAACTCCCGGAAGCAAAAAATACAACTGTGGTTGCCTGGGGAGGGGGCGGCCAATTGTCAGGGGTGGTGGTGGGGGAGTTGTTAGTCAATAGGTACAAAATTTCAGTTACGCAAGACGAGTATGTTCCAAAGATGTCCTGTGCAACATCGTGCCTGTAAACAGTATATGCAGCACAGTAAAAACCTGTTAAGAAGATAACATGTTAACTATTTTTACTACTACATATATATTTACATACACTTTTTTTAAAAACTTGCTTGACACTGACATATTCTTTGTGTGACACAGGGGTCAAGACTATTATCTGTGGACCTTGGGCAAGACAGTTAACCTCTTGCGTCCTCCATTTCTCTATCTGTGAAATGGAGTAATAATAGCACCTACTTCAGAAGTACACAGTGAGAATTAAAAGACTCCACAGTGCTTGAAATGAAGTCCATGAGGTAAGGAGCATGAACTTTGATTGTGCATTAACTTTTATTGTTTTTGCAGTGTTTATGCTGACGAGTCATCAATAAGATAGAGAAACATCCCCCAAAGGGAAATAAAAAAACTTCTCCCAACCTCAGCCCATGGATAAAATGTCCCCCTGGTCTCCACTGAAGCACTCTTCACCAAAATTCTCCCGGTGCACAAAGGCCCTTAAAGCAAACACAGGCTATTCCCTATGATGCACCACTATGAATGCATGGCTTACCTTTGTACTGAGCCTCCCTCAAGGTCCTAGGGGGCCTTTCTGGGGCACAGTAAAGGAAAAAGTTGGCTAGGATTCCAGAATGGCTCAGATAGGCTGCTGATACGAGCAGGGAGAGAAGCATTCTGGGAAATCTCAGAACTCTAACAATGGGGTCAGTGGATGGGATGCTTTCTTTCCTTCCTCACCCTCACGTCACAGAGCAAAGGAGCTGGTTATCAGAAATCTTGAGCTGCCTTCCTCCCAACTGTCAGAGGGATATTTACCTGGAAACATTTAAACTCTGTTGCTGTTTAAAACCCCTCTCCCTGCCTCCCCATTCCACACCACGCCTTCGATCACTATTTTGGAAGGAGCGTGCAGGTGGAGGGAGCCTAACAGGATGAAGACAGGAAGTCCCTGGATATTGGTTGGGTCTGTGGGAACCCCGTTTGCAGGGAGGACAAACTTCCTCTCACAAGTTACAATGCATTTTTCTCCTCTCTGCCCATTTCTCATGCCTGGAGGAACCTGATCCCTCCCCACCCCCAGGACAAAGCCAGAACCCTGTCCCTCCCCTTTTCCACCTCAAGAAGCCAGTGAAAACCTGGCTTCCAAATCACAGCTGACCCTGAGCAGGAGGGTACAGATGTGAGCCCTTACAGCACCAGCAGTGGGGAAGCAGTGTGGCCCAGTGGTTAGGAGCATGGTCTTCTGAGACCCATGGACAGAGTTGGAGTGTTGACTTGACCACTTTCAAGCCGTTAATAAATCTTCCTGAACTTCAGTATCGTGTCTGTTAGAGGATGATAGGAGTTTCTGCATGGGAGTTGTTGCATTAATTAAATGTGATGTCTGCCACATAATAGTTGTTCAATAAACATGGGCTATTGTTAGTCTTAAAACCTTAATTCTAGAAGCTAGAAGTGTAACCTCCCTTCTCTCCTCTCCCATACAGGAGAAGGCACACAAACATCGAATCATTCTATTAGCTATGATAAGATTATGAGAAAAGTGAAAAAAGTCTAGGGCGACCAGAGCATTGGAGAATTGAGACTTGGCACTGAGGGTAAAAGTCAGGCAAATTCTTGACCTGCACAGGCTGCACTAAGCCTCTTCAGGGCTGAGGCTATCTGACTCACCCCTTATCTTTAGTGGCTCTAATTGACTGCTTTGCATAGCAACAGAATGCTGAATATTTGTGACCTGCAACAGCGAACGTGTGAAGTTACATTTACTCACGCTCAGCTGAGTCAGGCGGCCTGAAAACCTGTAAGGAGTCCCAGCAGATGGAGCAGGCTGAGTCTCGCTGGGAAATCGGCATCAGAATTCTTGTTTCTTGCTTGATGAACTCATCGGCTGAGTCAGAAACCGTTTCCCCAACCAACGTTCCTGTGGGTCGGATGGCAAACGCTTAACTTACTTACTTCCAACAATTTTTTAAATGAGGGAAAAAATGTTTTAAAAATAAAATATGTTCATTTTAGAAAATCTGGAACATCCCCAAAATATATATGACAATTTAAATCCCTGTAATCTCACCAGCTAATTATGTACTATTATAACAAGATTTTCTCATGTCATTAAAGATTCTTTAAAAGTATGATCTTATTGATGCAATTTTCTGTTAATCCATACATCAAACTATTTTCAATTTATTTAATCACCTCTCTGTTATTGGACATTTGGATAGTTTCCAGATATCCACTATACCCTTGTAAATGTATCTTTAAATACATCTCTAATGATTTTAATAATCAATAGTCCTCAAAACAGTCTTACAAATCCTAAACACACAAAGGAAGCCCAGAAAAGACGGAATAGTATGTCAATGCAGAATAGCTTACCAGCAGAAATCTGTAGATTCTTCCCCAAATAACACATATCACACATTTCCAGTACCAATTCCAGTATGACTTTGAAAGAAATGTGACTGATTAATTCTAAAAAGCATAACCAATAGCTAAGGCACAAGTAAAGATGGAGTATTTTTCTTACCAGCTACTGAGACATACCACAAAGCCACAGCAAAGAAAATACTCTCCTAGTGGTCCAGGAATCGACAAACAGAATGACCAGGAATCGACCAATAGAATGAAACAGCGATCCAGAAACAGACCCACATGCATGTGGAAACTTCATGCACCACAGCGGTGGTATCACTCTGCAATGAAGAGAAAGAAGATAGATTATTTAGGGAATGATTCTGGGAGAGCTGGTCACTACATGGAGAAAAACACAGTTGGATCCCTACCTCACGCCAAATAAAAATGTTAACTGTCCTAGACTGGATACTTTCATTTGAAATGAAAACAAAAAAAATATATAGAAGAATATCTTCATGACCTAAAAATGAGGAGGAATTAGGAAGGAAAGCATAAAAACCACAAATGATTTCAGGGAAAATTTGTGGATTTCAGTGTACCAAAACCGGATTTCTAGGCCCTGGCCAGTATGGCTCAGTTGGTTGGACCATTGTCTCATAACCAGAAGGTTGGCAGGTTCAGATCTCCAATCAGGGCACCTACCTATGTTGTGGGTTTGATCCCCAGTCCAAGCACATATAAGAGGCAACCAGTCAATGTTTCTCTCCCCCTTCCTCTCTCTAAAATAACAATGAAAAAATGTCCTCAGGTGAATAAAAAAAAATAGGATTTCTTTTTAAAGAAGGACATGATAGGCAAAGTTAACAGATAAGGGATAGCCTAGAATATATTTGCTACCTCTAAAACTCAAGGATTAGTATGTAGAAAATACATATAACTTCTGTATATCGACAAGAGGCAGGAAATCTAATAGAAAATTTGATAAAGAATTACAATAGGCAATTCACAGAGGGAAGAATGTGAATATCTAACAAATCTATGAAAAGATGCTATAAAATACCAATAAGATATTAAACTTTCAAATTTTTATTCGAAGAATTTCTAGGGACATCCTTCTTAATTAATAATACCATGAACATTATGACATTTCCAGACTCATTATATTCTTGCTAGTATACCAAGCATATTTTCTCATGTATTTCTCAATGATACAGAGTTGCTCCCAATAATAACAACTCCTTTAAGATAATCCACATTCATAAAAGCTTTTTCACATCTTTCAGGAGGAAATCTCCTAAATAATATACGAGAGACCTGAGAGACGGGTTTCCTGGCTTTATCACTTTTTGTTAGAGTAAGCACTGTGACCCTCTACCTCTTATGCAAATATAATTTACCACTTACCAGAAGACCTCTCTAAGTTGGTCGGTAGTCTCTTGGTTCTATAAAAAAGCAAGATGAAAAGAGAAATGGTCACATATGTCAGCGCTGTGCTAAGGAAAGGATAGAAGGGCAGGAGAACATTTCCTGAAGTTTAATTGTATCAACTAAAAAAGCAGAAGACATTTCGATTGGTTCAGTGTCCAGCGCCACTGACAAATGAGGATAAAGGAAAACCACGTTAACCATTTTGTATCAAGCAGAGGTGAAAGTAAAACAATTTTAAACCTGACTTTTGTCTATCAACATAATGAATAGTTAGATTTTCACCTATATAAAGAAGGGCTTTTACTCTTTCAAAATTCTTTGAAGTTTTACTAAGAGATTGAAATCATCTCTGCTGTAAACACTGTTTCCCCAGCTCCCCGCAATTTTTTTTAAAAAGCGAAACAAACAAACCTTATAAACAAGCCTGCGAAGTGGTGACTGTGTGAAATCCAGTCCTTTAACAACAACAACAACAAATTTCCAGGCTAATTGCTTCAGTCCCGTAGGAATAGAAAATGTGTGAGCAGTTATTCCACATATTCCTTTGGGGGGTTATTATATAAAAAGATAATAACACACCCTCATCAGACCATACCTGACTGACTGGCATGTTTTTCTCCTGTCTATAAATTCTTTCATAAGGAAAATGCAATTCTTTCTGTCTGACATCAATCTGAATGCCGTAAAACTCCATTTGCTAATTGTATAAAATTCATATCTAGGTTTCTATTTTCTAAATGCTTCTCCCTGCCTTTTCAAATACATGACTACCTGACTGGCAAAATTATTTGCCCCCAGACTGATTAGAAATGGAATAAGTCTTTGCATATGAGACACATATAAGTAATTAAAATTTCGAGCATTTGGGCGTGGCCTTGATTAAAAAGGAGACTACCCTTTAGAGAAAGAAAATCTCTATGTAAACAGTTTACACTGAACAGTGACAGACCCCCTAAATGACTGATCTTTTCCCCACCAAGCCCTCTTTGATAAACACCAAGTTCATCCCCTATCCTTCTACCAGGAAGAGTAGAGTCCCTTTTCTAACACATTAGGCAGTACTCCTTTTACTGTAATTGGTCATTCTTTCAATTTACATATTTCAGGAAAGTTCTTTGTGTGCAACCATCAAAGGAAAGTGAGGCCCATTCAGGCCCTTGCCCTGCCCTTACTGAGCCAGCGACAGATGTTTCACTCCTGAAGGGACTTCTCATCTCCCAGAGCAGCAGCCTGGTGTTCCGCCTAATGGTCCGCGGACACCGAGGAAGATCTCGTATCTGGAGATCTTCCTCTCGACATTTTCCAGAACGAAAAACAAATCCACACGGAATACCCAACCACCAGGCAGACACAACACGCAGCGACCTAACCACTTCAGCATGCTATTTTTATCTGCGTGCGGCCCACGGGGGACAGCGCAGAAGAACATCACCCTCCTCCTCCACCTCCCACTCCCTTCCAAAGGATGAAACACCGAAGAAAGGGAACAAGTGGGGAAGCCAATTTAAGACATCGTGGGTGAAGTTTCAAGCCTGTTGGAGGATGCTTCCAAACCGTCAGCACCCCCAGACCGTGGAAACGTGGGTTTCATCCGAAACGTCGTTGGCCCTTCGCATCTGTCCCAGTCAGTTGGCACTGAACCAGATCGCTGGGTCTGTTCTTTGTACACATCAAGCTTCACATTTTCTCAGTCTTGAAGAAAGAGGAAGACCTTCCTTTGCAAAGTAAGGTTTGTTTGTAAATTATATTTTATAGGCAAATCATAACTGAAATAAACCACTAGAAATCATTGAAATAATCGATCTAAAGGATTCGTGCAGAACATCTGCTCAACCACGATTAAGGATTTAACTGGGACTACATGGTGCTTTGTAGTCTGTCATCTGAAAATACCTCCGTACTTGTTCTATTACCTGTCTCCCATACCAGGATGAAAGCTGGGGAACTTCAGAGACTTTCTAAAAAATCTTTGTGTCTTTTCTTCCACTTTATCTACCGCACCTACAGCATAGTAATAGGAGGTCAATAAACATTTGCTGAACGAATACAAGTGTGCCAGCAGCTAGCCAAATGTCTTTTATTCCTCCCAGAGTCTCTCTGGTGGCCATAAAATCCCAAACTGCTTTTACCCGAGTCTCTCTAGTATTGCCGGCTGTCCCTGCGACAGAAGGTCGCTAACAAACTGCCTCTGAGATGTTCCCATGAGTACAGGTTGCTGATGTCACCAAGGTTATCCCTCCAGGCCCTCCCCTTATTCCCTCGCTGCAAAGCTAAGACAAGTCCACGCCAGGTAAAATTTAGACTAGCTCATGGCTCTCCGAATCCTTTACAAGTTTTTAAATGATGTTAAAACCAGGAACCAACAGTTACTCTAATACAGATTGGGTGACCCTGTACCCCACCCAATCCAAAGTACCAGCAGCAGCAGGTGCAGGGGTGGGGGGTGGTGTGTGCAGGAGGGGAATGCTAAGCGCAGCTGGGCGTTCTGGCGAGCAGAGCCAAAAGATGATTTTCCGTAGGTACATCCCAGAAGAGGAATTACAACCCACCCACCTCCCACTCTCTCTGCCTACGCAGAGCTACTCTCAGAGGCAGGAGCAGCTCTGGACGGTGGTGGTGAACAATTGGCTCTCAGTATCAATCCTGCGCGTAAGCACCAGTCCTCCCTCTTGCTGGCAATGCTTCCCCCGCTCCCCAACTCCCCCAGACTTCTGGGTCCTTCTCTCTCCAGAAAAGATCCCCTACATTATTTTGACTTGATTTCATTCAGATGAGCATGGTAAAAAATGTTTTCCGATTTTACCGGATTGTAATACTTTTAAAATGTGGCTTCCAAGAAACTTCTAGAATAGTAAGAGATGGGTAAATACACGTCCCAAACCTCCTGGGAAGCATGCAAAGCAACAACAAAAACAACAAAGCACGAGAACAAATACCCAGTTTGCATATTACAGTGTTCGTAGCAGAATTATCCACAACAGCCAAAAGGTGCAAACAACCCAGTATCCATCAAGGGATAGATGGATAAATAAAACGTACATGATGGGATATGATTCAGCCTTAAAAAGAGATGAAATTCTGACACATGCTACAATGGGGATGAAGCTTGTGGACATTATGCTGAATGAAATAAAGCAGACACAAAGGACCAATATCGTAAGATTCCACTTACCTTAAGTCCCTAGAAGAGTCAAGTACATAAAGATGGGAAGGTGGGACGGTGGTCACCAGGCTGGGGCGAGGGAAAGATGGGGGAGTCCGTGTGTGAAGGGGAGAGAATTTCAGC